AATTTTGGAAGTTTGCATTTTTTTGGTGCTCATTAAAAAGAGGTAACAGAGAAAGGCTGGAAGAAGAGAAAGAGAGACAGGAGAGAAAAGCTAATTTGAAAGATCCAAAAACCTATTAAGATGATAATGTCTTACAATAGGTTTTAGTTTTCTGAACCATTGTTTTAAAATATATTAATGATGGTTTCAGACAGTTAGATGGCACAGTGGATTTGGAATCAGGAAGACTCATTTTCATGAGTTGGAATCTGGCCTCAGATACTTAGTAGCTGTGTGACTCTGGATAAGTCACTTAACTCTGTTTGCCTCAGTTCTTTATCTGTAAAATGAACTGGAGAAGGAAATGGCAAACCACTCCAGTGTCTTTGTCAAGAAAACCGTAAATGGGATCATAAAGAATTAGACATTACTGAAATGACTTAACAATGATGGTTTCCTGGCCAGGAATGGAGTGTGCCTGTCACAGGCTGGCAAAGATATATTTTCCTGGGGTGCTGAAAATCAAATAAAAAGGTCTTTAAACTTAGAGAGGGGAGAAACAAGATATGTATACCCTATCAAGCTATGATATCCATCAAGCTAGACACCTTGGAAACTATACTATAGGAATCAGAATCACTATTGAAGACACCAGAAACTCAAAAGAGACAAAAATCTAAGCAGCCAGTGGTAAAACTTCCAACCTCAAGTATCTGTGCAAATGCTAAAGTTCCTAATGTTAGAAGGTAAATTTAACATCATAAGTATCACTGAAAGTTGGAGATATAAGGCCCATAACTGGAACATACCTAGAGATATTAAACCTTCAAGATCCAGAACTCTCATCCTCGGACCCTCAAAGTCTTAATTGTTAAAGTGTCTTATGCATAACCCACTAGATGTGGTTGGCTATTTTAGCTTTGCTTCCCATTGCTACATGTCACTTCTTCACCAGTTGCCTTGTTGCCACATATATACTCTCCCACTCTCTAACTCTTCGAATCAAATCAAGTCAATCCTGCCACTGCTACTATATAGGGTGTGTCAGTCTACTCCCCTATGGCTCCACCCAATATCTTTATAAATTTCCAAAACCAAAATACCCCTTTCTAGTTACCATTCCCCTATATGTGTTATCTTCTTTTATTAAAATATAAACTTTCTATGCTTATGTTTTTATATTTCCACTGCTTAGCACAGTGCTTGGCAAATATTAATAAATTTTTTTATTCTTTAAAAAAAGAGTTGTTAGGCTAATACTGTATATTAACAGGTATACTAATGGAAAGAAATTCCACGTGCTCTGAGATAGGAGCTATGAACCTCAAGTTCCTAAATATTTTTGGCTTTTTTTCCTTTTTCTGAGCAGAGGTCATAGCATTCCTGTGTATTAACCTTCTGTCAGTTTAAGAGTTCCTAAGAGATTAGGAGCTGCTGAGTTCAAGATATCCTTAATTTCCAGGGAGACAATAATGGGCTATATAAGCACTTTTTCATTCTTCATGGATTCTTAAAGTCATCCATGCCAATACTCATAATTTATATTTCATGTTGGTCCAAGGTTTGGAGTTCTTGTTACCCACACTTGAAGAAATCTAAATATAAGCCAGATTTAATCCTTATTCTAGAGATTTCCCCAGAGTAAAACTCATTAGTTAGGGCATAAGCCAAAGAAAGATAGTGATCTGGGATCAAGCCCCAAGAATTGATAACAGTTTGTATAAATCCAACATTTTATATAAAATTCGGAAGTTAGACATTTGATTTTTATCACAAACGACAATGGGACAGTGCCGGATGTTTATAGCATAAAGTCCACCTACACAAGCCATTAATTGGCTCATTGAACTCATTTTCTGATAGCACCCTCCCAAAAGAATATAATGATTTACAGTAACACTTATTCATAGCATCAACTTGATAAAGTGGATAAAGCAAGCATAATCATTCCCATTTGGAAAAAAAAAGAAATCAATAGGTTCAAAGAAATTAAAGAATATGACCATGATCAGACTTGCATAAATCTCATAAAAATGGGTCTCAAAAATCAGTTGTCTCCAGACTTCAAGTCCAGTATGCTTTAGGATAAAAGCAAATTTGAATCCTCAAATTAGAATACACTAACATCTGCTTCTTTTGTGTAGACATATCTGTCCTCATGTTCCCATTGAAAATCAACATGCATCCACTCCCTTCCCACCACGGCAGGCTGTCCGGCTAGAACAGCTGTGGGACTCTCGGGAGCTTGCCCCAGCATGCGGACCAAGGTGCGGAGGCCATGAAAGCCCGCACCATGAAGATCCCCAGCAAAGGCCATCACCCGGCAGGTGGTATCCAAATTTTAAGAAAATGAGTAAAGTAGACCATCTTTGAAAACTGTGAAAATGATAAATCAGAAAAGTCTAAATATAAGCCACTTTGGGGAAAAGTCTTTTATCTTGATTTGCCATTTATTGTGATCTCTGAAAGACAGGAAAAGGACCTAAAGGAACTAGTTGAAGAATTTCTCAGCTAAGATATGTTACCAAATTTAAAATGAAAAGCAAGCAAAATATAGTCAGACATTGTAGTGTACTTCTCCTGTCCCAAGTCCGGAATCAACACATACGGGAGAAAATACTTCACCTCATCCTAGCTGTGATGGAAGTTCATTCGAGACTCCAGATGCAGTATGTATGAGCAGAGTCAAATTAGTAGATGAAAAAGCTATCAAGGAATATGAATTCATCCCTTCAAATAGTATCCTGTCAAATGCTTTATCCTAGGGAGTGAAAATTCTTTATATTGATGACGTTAAATACTATGTCGAACAAAAGAAAAAAGAATTGTATCTGATCAAGAAATCAAGCACATCACTAAGAGAGGTGGGAAAACGATTAGGTATTCAGAAAACAAAAACAGGAAGGCTCAAAAAGTCATTGGTACAGGTGGAAGATTTAAGCCACCATCATAGACCATTTTACCTTCAGCTGTTCAATCTACCTTTTATATTCCCTTCGTAAGCCCTGTAGTCCTTTTGATTCGGACAAAACGTCTAGTCTGCAGAAACAAACCCAAGCTAAACAAAGCAGGCGGTGAAGCTGAGGAAGGGCGCTGCCCTCCTGCCACAGCCCCGCCTCCGAGAAAACAGGAAGAGGGGCTACTGTGAGTGCTGCTCCCGGAGATACGTGGCGCTGCAGGTCCATCTTCCAAGTGGACAACACAGAAACTTTACACAAAGTACTCAGTAGCAAGTTGTTGATGATATCATATCCAAGTTGGTGTATGACTTTGTAGAAAAGAAAAACAATACATCCAGAAGAGTAAAATGCAGTATTGGATCTTTTGCCCCTAACTCTGGAAATACTTTTAAAAGGAATGAACCTGAAAACAACTGGAATTGCACTGTTTCCCAGAATGACGCCCGGGGAAATACTACCAAAAAGGTGATAAAACAGGATTTCCAAGATCAAGAAAGCAGGGATCCTTCACAATGTTGCTGTTAGTTCAGAGCCCATAGATTCATTTGCTTCATGCAGTCCGGGTCCTTACAACTCAACAAGCAAACTCGGAGAACATTTGGATTGTGGAAAATCTTATATAATAAATCCAGTGAAGAAGGACATTAAGCTGGATTTGTTACAACTACCTCTGAATAAAGATATACAGGGATATACTCCTGAAGTTTCTGACCGTAAAGGAACTATGAATGAAAAAGACTTAGAAGAACTAAAAACAATGCTGCGCATATATGCTAGAGGCATTTACGCACGTTTCTGATTTTGACTAAATAGATAAAAATGTGTCTCAGCTAAAACGAAAGCCGGATAGTACGATTTTTCCAGATACCTGTCAAAAGAAAAAAGGCACTAGTTCCCCACATGGTAATGGTTCTAGTCTTAGAGTCATTAGCAATTCACTAGAGCAACCCAAGATGATATCCCATAGTCATCCTGGTAAAGAAACCCAAAGAATTGGGTGTTGAAAGTATAGACAGTTTGCCTTCAGGGAAGCTGCATCTAAAAGTAAAAATAGTAATAGGAGGAAACACAAAAAGAAGTCAGAAGAATGTCGAATCACATTTAAATAACAAAGCAGAATTTCCTGCTAAAAAAGAAGACAGTGTTTGTAGTTCACCAATACAGTCTTTCTTTAATAGAATTATTTCAGACCAGTGAAGACAGTTTTGAGTTTGTGGGTTTTACAAGCTATTCTGAAAACCACGGTTCACACGACATCTTAGAGGTTTGGGAGGAAGAAAATGGGAATAGCTTGTTGTCCATGTTTCTCTCTTCTCCCTCTTGGACCTCTACGTTTACTGGGTTTTAGAAGGGTTTTGTTTTTGTTTCTAATTTGTATTTTTCACAAGTGATAAGGGTTGTATTCCTGAAAAATTTTTATATATGTATAAATTCTTCTTTTATTATTTATGTGTCATCATCCATACATTTTAATAACCAAATGCAATTATTTTTTTTTAATTTCTTCTATTTTTTAATTAGCCCTTGTGGTAAATACTGTTTCCGAGGGCCTTCCTGGGCCACACCAGGCCAGGTGGGAGCCTCCCTCCATCCCCAGTCAAGGTGGAAAAGCCCCCTCTCCAATGTACAAGGTCACTCTGAGGCTGTCACCCTCTCATTTTACAGAAGAGATGTGTGAGAACCAAGGGGCCTGGAAAGGAGGACCAACACTCCAACAGGGAAGAGGGAAGGCCCAATAGACCTGGGAGGGGCTGAGGAAAGGAGGCCTCAATGGGAGAGACAGCAATTGGATTAAGTCGGGGCAGGAAAAAGCAGGAATCAGAGGAGTCTAACAGACCCATAGGACAGCAAGACCTTGGACAAAGGGCTAGGGACACACACACACACACACACACACACACACACACACACACAGAGTGCAGGATCCAGGGGCATCTGTCTCAACCCCAGCCCAACAGATGCAAGGATTTCAGGGAAGAACCAGGAATCCAGAGGACATTTCAATCCTTCCTGTCATAAAGCAGGGATGGGGACAAGACCCCTGAGCTCTTCCTTCAGGCCTCACTTGCCCAGGGCAGCCTTGATCTCTGCCACAATATGCAGGTATTTGTCTGAGAAGTCCATGAAGCCATGTCCAGCCTTCTTGGAATGCACAAGCTTTCCAGCAATCATTACTTCAAAGAAGCCAGTGACCTCCTGGGTCCCCTCACCATTGATGTTTAGGAGGCTGGGAAATTCCTCTTCTAGCTTCTTCTTCAGCAACAGGTACTTGGGCTTGTAACCTCAGGGACTTTGACCGCCATGGCTGCAGCCCTGGCTTTGTCCTGAACACTAAAGACCACTGCAGGAAGATGGAATGTTGGTGCCGCCCACATTCCAAAATTACCAAATGTAATTATAAAGAATAAAGATGATTATTAGTATTTTCTTAAGAATTAAGCACTTTTATATAAGTAAATGCAACTGAAGTTAAGGTGTCTGCTACCTCTCACATATTGTATACATCATTTCTAAATAAAACTACTTCTGAATGAGTGGTTGAATAGAATTTGCACTGCAAGGAAAATGCCTTGCACTGGAGAAGACAATTTTGAGTAACTATGGAATTCATCTAAAAAACTTAGTGTCTCAAATTTGGGAGTTAGGATTCAATTTATTTAAATATTAGATCTAAGACAATATGCATACCACTCAAAACTATGTATCATGGTAAAAGGAGCATGTTTACAAATTAAAGTATGCCAATGAGTGAATGCTGCTTCAGGAGCTATGTTTGGTGTCTATGGAGCAATGTTCTAAGGTATGTCACATTTATTTGTCCTTGGAGTTTCCTGAAAAACTGAGTATATGCCAGAACAATAAAAAAAGAAAAAAAGAAAAAAAAAGAAAATCAACATTCATGAAGGGCCACAGGAAACATACTAAACTAGTTAAAATTATACTTCTATAAATTATAGATCATTCATATCCAGAAAGATTATACTATGATCTCAACAACTTCTGCATGTCACCATTTCTATTCCCTTCCTTTACTGTTACTAAAGACTTTGTAGGTATTTTGATTCATTATAATCCATAGACTCTTCTTAAAAAAGGAAAGATATTTGCTATTGTAGCCCACGTTTTGCAAATCATTTACCTCCTTAATTCAAGGTTAAGGTTTTGGGTTCTGCCATCAGAAGTTGGATCATTTCTGTGGTCAAAGTTAGATTTATGAAATCCCTTGCTTTCGTCGGGCTGTTTATGCCTTTGTCAAGTGATAGAATCACTAAAAGCTATGACTGTTCACCTCAATCCACTTTTATGGTACATTTTGTATGTGTGTGTGTGTGTGTGTGTATGTGTTTGTGTGTGTATGATGTTAATGGTGATAAGAACGTGAGAACATTCTTTTGAAATTCTAATAAATACCCAGACTTGAGATTTGGTTAAAAATTGACTCCCAATGCAATATAATTTCTTTAATGGTTAAAAAATAAAAGCAACAACAAACAACATCTGTTCTTGAAGTTGAGTGTATTCTGGGAACCAAATCAAATTGCTAACTATTCTGAGTTTTGCAAAGAGAAAAAGGAAAATCAATGATACAGTTACCCCAAGGCCATGAGCCAAAAGTTAAAATGGAATTTTTATTTCACAGTATGCTTTGAGCCTCTGATATGTAAATGTCTACATTGTTACTTCTTTGGAACATCAGGGAAAATGGAAAGAGAGTAGTGTTAAAAGAAGAAATGTCCTAGTTTCTCTCTTCTTCAGCCCATGTTTTGGTAATGTTATCTTTGTGCATCTAGAAGTATAACACAAATTAAAGACACCACCACCATTTGTGTGACTTCCAGGTATCTTTTAGTAGAAATGCTTCTTCACCAGGCCCTGGATGGGAACATCTAAGATTCTCATCCATCAGAAAAGTTATAGGTCAATCCTATGGTATCACATCACTAATAGTTAAAACTGTGGAAAAGAATTCCTAAAGTAGAAATGTGAATGAAAGATAAAAATTGTGTTTATTAATATATGTTCCTTTCTTTATCAGATGACATATTTTGCAATGATATATCATTTAAAAAAAGATTTGGCATGAATGTAGGAAAGTTAAAAAGAGCTTTGGTTACTAAAAGTGGTAAAAGTGATCAGAAGAATAATTAGAGACACTTTCATAATATGCCAAAAGGAATTAAACACTGAGAAGGTCCTTTCTAATGAAAGATATAACAAGTATCCAACATTAGGAAGTTTAACAAGAAAATAAGAAATTCTGAGACAAGGTTTCAGAAATTCAAAAATATCTTTGTATTCTGTGGCCCTACACTTCAGAGTTTTCTTAAGCTCATGATTTCAGAATGCATTTGAACTCTGGCATATCAATTTTTCTTGATCCAAAGGAAAAATGACCTTTTTTAAAAGACTACAAACATTGTACTAACATCAGAATTTTTTCTTCAAAATAACATTTTGATGAGTTAATTGTGAATAAATCAGAAACATAAGGATTAAAACTTTTCTTCCAGTAGAAATGGAAAAGAAAACTTTCTTAAAAGAGTATGCTTTGAGTTTAGCTATACAAAAAAAAAATTGAAAATTAGTTGGAGATGTTTGATAAATCTCCAAATTCATCAAGATCTTCTCTTTTCTGGTTAAAAAGGAAAAGAAAAAGAATCTCTACTCTTCAAGTATTCTTGGGAAATCAAACTCATTTACAATGGTGTTTGGGATAATAGTAACTATTTATTTAGGATTCAATTATTTAGTGATTTTTTGAAAATGTGTACCCACTGCCATTTGGCTTTAGTATGTTCTAACATTCCTTAAAATCTGCAGTTAAATAGTTTTACAATCCTAGTTAAATTGTTTACAAATAATGTCAAATGTTAAAGAGAGCAGAGCACTCATGTATACTAACCTGAAATAACATATATTAAACTCTTAAGTTTGAGACTATGTCAGACTTCAAAATAGGATAGGATTTATCTACAAAGAATGTAGGAACTTGGTAGGTGGAGCCAAGATGGCAAGGAAAAGGCAACGACTTGCCTTAGCTCTCCTCAAAGCTTTCTGAACACCTTTAAATAATGCCATAAAACAATTCCAGAAGCAGCAAAACCCACAAAAGGACAAAGCAAAATAATTTTCCAACCAAAGACAACTTAGAAGGTTGGCAGGAAAGGTCTGTTGCATCTGGGTGAGAGCAGACCACAGTCCAGTGCAGGTCCTGCCAGCACAGACCCAATCCCAGCAAACCAGGAGCAGGCCTCAGGAACCACTGAATCAGCAGTGGCAGCAGCTACTTCTGGAGTTCTCAACCAATAGATACTAAGGGGCTCAAAAAACTGGTCAGAAAGAGATTATGGGATCTCTTTGCTAGCACTGAGGCAGGACTCTGTTGTTTTGCCCATACTTGGATCCAAGTCACAGCCCTGAGTAACAGTCTCAGGGTGAGGAGGAACAGTAGCATACCAGATCTTGTGGGCTACAGTGGAGCAGGGACCCTCATTACAATTCCAGGGCATAAAAGAGTGGTTGTGGTCTCTCACTGACCACAGAACAGGTCAGAAGAATAGTAAACACACCTGTCCTTAGATAATACCATCTTGGAAGAACTGAAAACTTACAGGTCCCAAGAACTGTCTCTGAAAACAACTGCACAAAACTCTTGAAGCTTGGGGCAGTGCATCCTCCACCCTGGAAGCAGAGCCCCACTTTAACAAAGAGTTAAAAGTCAAGAAATAGACTGGAAAAAATGAGCAAACAACAGGGAAAAAAATCTGACCACAGAAAGTTACTATCGTGACAAGGAAGATCAAAACACATTCTCATAAGAAGATAATAAAGTCAAGGCCACAAAATCCAAAGCTTCCAAGAAAAATATCAATTGGTCTCAGGTCATAGAGGAGCTCAAAAAGGATTTTGAAAATCATGTAAGATAGGTAGAAGAAAAATTGGTAAGAGAAATGAGAGTGATGAAAAAAAAATCATGGAAAAAGAGTCAGCAGCTTGATAAAGGAGACCAAAAGAAAATCCTGAAGACAATAACACCTTAAAAACCAGACTAAACCAAATGGTAAAAGAAGTACAAAAAGTTAATGAGGAAAAGAATGTCTTAAAAAGCAGAATTAGACAAATGGAAAAAGATATACAAAAACTCACTGAAGAAAAAAAATTTCTTAAAAAGTAGAATTGGTCAAATGGAAAAGGAGACACAAAAGCTAACTGAAGAAAATAATTCCTTAAAACTTAGAATTGGGAAAATGGAAGTTAATGATTTTATGAGATATCAAGAAACAATAAAACAAAATTTAAAAAAAATGAAAAAAAAAGAAAGTGTGAAAATCTCATTGGAAAAACAACTGACTTGGAAAATAGATCCAGGAGAGATTATTTTTAAATTATTGGAATACCTGAAAGCCATGATCTAAAAAAGAGCCTAGACATCATCTTTCAAGAAATTGTCAAGGAAAACTGCCCTGATATTCTAGAACCAGAGGGTAAAATAGAAATTGAAAGAATCTACCCATTTTGATTTACATTTTCTTTCACAACATGACCGACATGGAAATATGTTTTAGATAATTATACATGTATAACCTATATTGAATTGTCTTCTCAATGAGAGGAGTGGGGAGGGTGGAAGGGAGAGAATTTGAAACTCAAAGTTTTAAAAACAAATGTTAAAAATTGTTTTTACACGTAATTGGGCAAAATAAAATACTAAATAATTTTTTAAAAAGAAAAAAGAATATGTAAACCCCGGTTGACATTCTGAAAGGTATAATAGAGAGGTTATCTGTCCCCACACCCCTCCCCCAAATCAAATTCTTGGAAACAGAAGCAAAGACTAAATCTGAGTCTCCCTATGGTCTCCAAGCAAAGTAGGATGACCCCATCATTTTGATTATAACTTTTCATGGAATAATCCATGAATTTCATGGCCTTTAGACACAGCAGTATAGTCAGTAGAGATAGTTAAAGATTTTCTGTTCTAATGAACACACCAACCAGAGCTTATCAGTTCAACATCAATTCAATTCAATAATCATTTATTAAGTGCCTACTATGTGCCAAGCACTAGGCTAAGTACTGGGGATACAAAAGGAGGCAAAAAACAGTCCCTTACCTCAAGGAGCTTATAATCTAATTGGGAAGACAAGTAGGATTTGAGTTGGAACTTAAAGGAAGCCAGGGAAGTCAGTAGTCCAAGCAGGGAAGGGAAAGTATTATAGGTATGAGGGACAGCCAGAGAAAATGCCCAGAACCAAGAAATGGAGTGTCTTATTTATGGAACAGCCAGGACACTAGTGTCCTGGAACAAAGACTATGTTTCAGGGAGTAAGGTGTGAAAAAGACTGGAAAGGTAGGAGTGGGGTAGGTTATTAAGGGCTTTGAAAGCTGACAGAGCATTATGTATTTGCTCCTAGAGGCAATAAGAAGCCACTGTAGTTTATTGAATGGGAGGGTGTGTATGTGTGGAAGTTACATGTTTGGACTTGTGTTTTAGGAAAATCACTTCAGTGGCTAAATGGAGGATGGATGGGAGTGTGGCAGATTGAAGCAGTCAGACCCAGCAGCAGACTATTTCAGAGTAATCAAGATATGAGACAATGAGTGCTTGCCCTATAGTGGTGGCAGTCTCAAAGGAAAGAAGAAGATATATTCAGGAGTTTTTCTTACAGCCAAGCTAGCATGGATCTACTTGCTTCATTACTTCCCTTCACATCCTTTCCATTCACAATAGAAGAATTGAAGAATTGTTATTTCATGTCTTTACAAAAAGCAGAAAAATGAAACATTTTTAGGGCCTTGAAGGTATAAAGACACGAAATCTGTTCTGTGGTGATGATGCCAATTATAGGGTGGCAGACTCTCTGAGAAAATGCTGCGATACTGAAGAAAGAAGGACAATTCATGTCAGTGTGGGTTATATGTGTAGATTTAATTAGGACCTGTTAGATTAATTGGGACAGTTTCACAGGAGGCTTGGGCAGCAACAGGACAACATTGTAGAATATCTTCAATGTAATTATCTATTGTTTCTATGATTTTTTCTGTGAGCCACTATTTTTTTAAGATTATTTAGTCACTAAATAATTTTAATTCTTTCTTCAGCAGTCCTTTGTTGAATACAATTTTTATTGAATAGTGTGTCAATAAAAGATAGGTTTAACAGTTTCACTTTTTTGCATGTATTTGTGTGGTTTTTATGTCCTAATACATGTTCAATTTTTTAAAATGTGTCATGTTCAGCTGATAAATATGGATGCACCTTTCATAATCACCAAAGGCCTACTATATCTAACTTTTTTATTGATTAATTTATTTATTTTTAGTTTTCAACATGCGCTTCCACAAGATTTTGAGTTCCAAATTTTCTCCCCATTTCACCCCTCTCCCCACCCCAAGACAGCACGCATTCTGAAAACCCCTTCTCCTAATCTTCCCTCCCTTCTATCTCTTCTCTCCACCTTCTCTTATCCCCTTCCCCTTCTATTTTCCTATAGGGAAGGATAGATTTCTATACCCCATTGCCTGTGTATCTTATTTCCCAGTTGCATGTGAAAACAGTTTTGAACATTTGTTTTTAAAACTTTGGGTTTCAAATTTTCTCCCTTCCTCCCTCCCCAACCACCCTCATTGAGAAGGCAAGCAACTCGATACAGGTTATACATGTGTAGTCATGTAAAACACTTCCATTGTAGTCATATATGGAAAACTAACTATATTTCAATTTATCCTATCCCACTTCCTGTTTATTCTATTCTCTCTGTTGACCCTGTCCCTCCTCAGAATTGTTTGCTTCTGATTGCTCCCTCCCCCAGTCTGCCCTCTCCTTTATAATTCCCCTCACTCTCTTATCACCTTCTCCCCTATTTTCCTGTAGAGTAAGATTGATTTTCATACCCAATTGAGTATGTATGTTATTCTTTCCTTAAGCCAAATCCTATGAGAATAAGATTCACTTACTCCCTCTCACCTTCCCCCACTTCCCCTCCTTTGTAAAAGTTCTTCTTACCTATTTTATTTGAGATAATTTACCCCATTCTACCTCTCCCTTTCTCCTTCAAACAGTATAATTCTCTCTCACCCCTTAATTTGATTCTCCAGATATCACCCCTTCATCTTCAACTCACCCTGTGCCCTCTATCTATCTGTCTGTCTGTCTATCTATCTATCTATCTATCTATCTATCTATCTATCTATCTATCTATCCATATAATTTTTCCCTCCAACTACCCTAATACTGACAAAGGTCTTATGAGTTACTGATACCATCTTTCCATGTAGGAATGTAAACAGTTCAACCTTAATAAGTCCCTTATGGTTTCTCTCTCCTGTTTACCTCTTCATGTTTCTCTTAAGTCTTGTATTTGAAAGTCAAATTTTTTATTCAGCTCTGGTTTTTTTAATCAAGAATGCTTGAAAGTCCTCTATTTCACTGAATGCCTATTTTTTCCCCTTGAGGATTATACTGAGTTTTGCTGGGTATGTGCTTCTTGGTTACAATCCTATCCCCTTTGACCTCTGGAATATTATATTCCATGCTCTGTAGTGCCTTAATGTAGAAGCTGCTAAATCGTGTGCTATCTTGATTGTGTTTCCTCAACATTTTAATTGTTTCTTTCTGACTGCTTGCAATATTTTCTCCTTGACCTGGTAATTCTGGAATTTGGCCACAATATTCCTAGGAGTTTTCCTTTGGGGATCTCTTTCAGGAGGTGATTGGTGGATTCTTTCCATTTCTATTTCACCCTCTGGTTCTAAATTATCAGGGCAGTTTTCCTTGATAATTTCTTGAAAGATGATGTCTAAGCTCTTTTTTTTTGATCATGGCTTTCATATAGTCCAATAATATTTAAATTATCTCTCCTGGATCTATTTTCCAGGTCAGTTATTTTTCTAATGAGATATTTCACATTGTCTTCTATTTTTTTTGTTTTTTTTGTTTTGTTTTGTTTTACAATGTCTTGATTTATCATAAAGTCATTAGTTTCTATTTGCTCCAATCTAGTTTTAAGGAAGTGTTTTCTTCAGTGAGCTTTGGGACTTCCTTTTCCATTTGGCCAATTCTGCTTTTGAAGGCATTCTTCTCCTTATTGACTTTTTGGGCCTCTTTTTTCCATTTGGGTTAGGTTTTTTTTAAGGTGTTATTTTCTTCAGTATTTTTTTGGGTCTCCTTTAGCAAGCTGTTGATTTGTTTTTCATGATTTTCTTGCATCACTCTCATTTCTCTTCCCAGTTGTTCCTCTACTTCTCTTACATGCTTCTCAAAATCCTTTTGGAGCTCTTCCATGGCCTGGGACTGATTCATATTTTTGTGGGAGGATTTGAATGTAGGAGCTTTGACTTTGTTGTCTTCTTCTGGTGGTATGTTTTGATCTTCATCACCAAATAAAGATTCTATGGTGTGACTTTTTCTGCACAGTTTACTCATGTTCCCAGCCAATTACCTGAGTTTTAATCTCTTTGTTAAGGTAGGGGTCTGCTTCCAGTGTGGAGAATGTACTGTCCCAAGCTT